GATTTCCTAGTATGATAAAGAATATATCTTCAAACAACAGCCAAAATATTTAACTGTGCTTTGCATTAAAATTGTGAAGACAGGATACCTACTATCATCACTTTAAATGCTTCTCAAAAAAAACAAACACCTGTATATGGCTTGAAAATAAGGCAGATAATTTAGTAATAAAAATCAATAATTCCCTGCCCAGTCTCTTCCTTCTCACCATTCCCTTTAATCCTCCTTCTGTTTTCTAATAATTATATCACTATTTTAGTTCCTCTATTATTACCTTCACAATTTTACATATACTTAAAATATTTTTCCTATTCCACCAAATATGCACTTTATAGCTTGATTCCCCAGTATATAATTAGGCACCTGGTTCTCTAACATCCTTAGTAAATAAAACTATTAGTTATTTAATGTATAGACTCTTGATAAATACTAATTTTGCATAGTAATCAATTGCATTCTAGTGTTATTTTAAGCAAAATTTTATTGTATGCCTATTTCTGTGAAACCTTTTTTTTTCTACCAGAAGCCACAGTGATAATAAATAAGTTAAATAAGAACCCTTTCAGCTTTTATTTCAGATTTTTATTTAAGAAGAGAAAATATAAAATAACAGTATACTTCTTCATTCTTAAATTCATAAATAGGGTGTTAGAGAATAAAATATTTTTAAAATTTAATTATATAACAATAATATAAGAGAAAAGGGGAAATGGGAAATGGTGCTGGACATATACACCAGGGAAAAATAAAAAACACAAAAAAAGAGGAAGCGGCACAGATTGGCGTATGCCTTCTTAGAGGGTAGAATGATCTAAGCACAGAACGTCCAAGAGTGGAAAAGTGGAAAAGGACCACACAGACTTAAACAAAGATAAATACACAGGAACATGAAGAAAGATTTCATGGTGACTTTAAAAATTCATCTTAATATATCCTTGGGAAAGCAAATAATTGTTCCCTAATTTAGTTCATTTGAAAACACCAAATTTAATACATTGGTTTTATAAAAAGTAGGTAAAATTGTACTAATGATTTGGGAAAATAGAAAAGTAAAGTTCTCACTCTCAAAAAAACCCTTGAGGGCCGGCCGAGTGGCGCGATGGTTAAGAACTGGCTTGGGACGCCAGAGGGCCCCGGTTCGGATCCCACATATGAGGGCCAGTGACACTGCCCTCCACAGCTAAGATGCTGAACAACAGCTCAACCTGGAGCTGGGCTGCCAAGAGTCGCCGGCAACGGCGTAGGCTGCAGCCCCTGTGGCAGTGGGTTGCCATGGGCTACCGTGTGTAGCCAGCAGCCAGCGTGAGCGGCCAGCAGCCGCAGTGAGCGGCCGTCCAGAAGCCGGCGACTGATCTGCCTCGCCCGGGAAGAGCGCAATGATGGTGCCAACTTGGGCCAGTGAAGCAACGTCCTCCACAACTAGACTGAAGAACAAAACGACAGCAACTTGTCTGTTCCCCTTCCCCCAATTCCCCAGTGCTGTTCCCATCCCCACAATTCCCCAATAAAAATCTTTAAAAAAAAAAACACCTTGAAATTTAGGTCACATGACAAAGTAAATGCTATCTGAAAGTATATATTAAAAGCACACAATAATCCACTAATGAGACAAAACACTTTTAATGATAATTAATATTTTTACATTTGCCCTGAAGTTTTATGCATTCAATTTACTTAGAAGAAATACTTTAAAGCCATATCATTTGTATGTTTTTCTTTTTGTGCGAGAGAAATTAAAAGTCAACCCTAAATAGTCATGGATATATTACATAATAAAGGATTTTTCATGGTATTCTAATGGGAATTCACACAAATCCAGTGCAACTAATGCTGTGTAGTAGTTCTTAATATAATCAATCTATTTGCTCTCCTTTTTTGCTCTAGTCACCACACCCCCAGAATCATACATACTTTATGAGTTAGAGCCAACAACAACTTTCTTTGGATCCACAAGTTATGAGATAATTGCCTCATGAGTAGGAAGTAAACTTGAGACAAGTCTCAGAAATTCCAGCAACAAAACCCAAGAAATTTTTCTTCCTTCTACATAAAGCCCTAATCCCCAAAACTTGATTCTTATTTAGCTTACAGTTTCAAAGCATGTATTATTTATATTGCTACTGTAGTATTTGGTAATGATCATGGTGTACCAAATGGTACTCTAAGCTTGAGTCCACAGTACAGTAAAGGAAGGAATCATCCATTGTCAATAAATCACAAAGGGTGATTGGAAATGGACGGATAATTTAGCTCAAAAATGTGGCCCACAAAGTGAAGTTTGGTCTGAAATGTTCTAGAGCTAGACTAGTGCTTTGTACTGAGTAAACAAGTAATTACTGGTATTCTGTTCACTTCACTGTGTGTTCTTAGGCCAAGGCTAGAAATTACTATCACACCAGAAAACTAAATCATGCTCTATACTATATAAACCATCTAGCTATAAAACTCTTTCTTTTCAGGACATCTTTATTGTTATGCCTAAAGTATGATTGTTAAGAATGAAAATTTGCCACAGAATTCTTGGGCCATTGTAAGGGAACAGATGCAAACTATAAGAATTTGGCACATCTTGAAATGTAGGAAGGCAATCTCAACGTAAGAGGCATTTAGTCATCATTACCTGATCCATTACTTTGATTAATTGATTCATTTCTGACTATCTTGTTTAAAATATAATCCTATCCCCTTTACTGGGAACTCTCTATTCCCTGCTCTTATTTTTCTTCACACCACTTACTGTCTCTCTTCCCACCCTAGAATGTTAGCTTCAAAAGGGCAAGGATTTCCCCCCCCCCTATTATGTTAACTGCTATATTGCACAGCTTACAAGAGTCCTTGGCCATATATATTTTGATTGAATTTGTTAAATAATTTTGAGTGTACAAAATAAAATTCAAGGGCATTTTAAAGATTTAACTTGAGTAAATCTTCATCTGAATGATTTTTTTGTTTCACTTTTAAATAATACCTGAAAAAAAGCATAGGGAACATATAATGAAGAACTCAGAAGAAGAAAAAAAAAAAGCTAGCATATTTTATACCTTTTAACAAGTCAGTCCCCCAAAAAGAAAAAAAGTAAAGGAGCCAATGATGACCCAGCATCTTTACTTGTTTAGTTCAGTTTTTAGAATTTTAGTTTAGATGCAAACTAACATTTTTTTTTTCTTTTGGGTAAGCAAACTTTTCTTATATAGACTTTCTAGGCAACTAGAATTGAAGGAGAAATAGCATCTTTGAACTACACTAAGAAGTTGCAATAATTCACTGAATTCTGTTTTGTTTTAGTAAATCTGCTCACAATTATAGTATACATTTCTATAAAAGTATAGGTGAGTGTGGTGTACAAACTTGTCTCTTTTTATGTCTTTGTACTGCAAAAACAAGCTTCTGTTCTGCAATTAATTAGAACAATAGTGACATCCTATGTCTAGCTTTTAGTACTGAGAGCAACTTCCCCATGACAGTAATTGACTGTCAAAGGATGTCGATGAAATCTTTCTTCCTAGATCTGGCTTCATCATATATATATTTAAACTAAAAATGGATAAATGTTTGGTGGTAAATTACTCCAACACTCTATGTTCAATTTTTATGCAGGTTTAGTTAAAATGAAAACAGCAATTTGTCTTTCATTTTTTAAAAACATGAGTGTTGACAGATAAAGTGAAATAGAACAGTATCTGGCAAATGGTAGGCATTCAGTTAATGTACCCTAAATGAAATTGCATGTTTTTGCTTAAAATAGAATAATATATTAATGTTTCATCTTAATATCTAAGAAATGCTTATTTCTCCTTTTATACTCAATGCTTTATCAGAAGTTTAGAATTTTAGCATTCATAGGTAAGCAACATTTTAGATAGCCACATTTAAATCTAGATGCTCTCAGGAAATACTAAAATCATTGGCCTTCATTATTAATAACTGCCAGTGCTATAGAATAAACATTATTTTTATCATTTTATATACTAGGAAATATATGCTACAAATATACTGAGGTACTTCATCTTCTAATGGAATATTAATACATGAATGAACACTGATATATAGGTGAGGACAGATACACTAGATCCAGGATTTGTTTTGAGTTCTTTTCATAGCAGAATTGTTGGATTTATACTAATCAGTCTTCAGCATATTTCAGATTCCCTCTTAGTATTTGTAATACGTACAACCATGTTGAGGAATGAAATCCTTGGCTGTAGAACAATTGTACGCATTACTGCTCTATGTAAAAATTAAATCTAAAATCTTGATTTGATCACAAAGAGTCTGACCCAAAGGTTTTCATACTCCTATGTCATGAAGCCCTAGGATTCCATGAAATAATTTGCGAGTGAAGTAGACTTTGAATTTTTCAATCTGATTTTTTCATAATCTGTTTATATGAGACTAATCTCTCCAAATCTGATTCCTTTCTCTATTCAGTCTCCTAATTACTTTTTCATCCTCACCGCCCTGTTTTTTGCTATCAATTATATTTTGGCTACCAGTTATACTCTATCAGAAAATAAATAATAATGTGTATTGCCACCTATAGGCAGAAGATAAATTTCACTTGTTTATGACATAGAAAGGCACAATCTAAAAAAAAAAAAAAAAAGTTCTTTTTTCCAACTCCTACAACTACCAATTTCAAACTTATTACCTACATTTTTACCTATTGTTATTGATGTTGCCATTTCAGATGCCTGTCTTAAAGCATTTGCTTAAACTTTTATCATTTTGTCATATTATTTGCCTTTTATGTATTATTCAAATATACCATCTTATTAAAGTTCTGTGACTTTAAAAAGTTTAAAGAGACTTGTTTAAACCAAATTACTTAGTCATATACTAAACTAACTGTTGTACCTTAGTTTACCTCTGTAGTGGGGGAAATTACCAATATTTGTTCCCGGAAATGAAAAGTTTCCCTTCCTACAATCGACTAACATCAGTCTTTGGTTTTGTGCCTTCTCTGTAATGATATAGGTTTGTTTCTCCTTTATTCTTTGCAGAGTGCTGCAGCAGCTCCCAGTCCAGTGCTAGGAAACATTCCCCCAGGAGATGGCATGCCAGTAGGTCCTGTACCACCAGGGTTCTTTCAGGTACTCAGAGAAACTGACTAGGAATGTTAAGGCATAGGAACTCCTGTGTGATTTAAAGATATGAAGGAGAATGAGGCTATTTTCATTCTTAAGGTAAACGTAAATGCTGTGCAGCCAACTCTTGATTATTCAGAGACTGGTTATCTAGTGGATAGACTAGCCCTTCCTTCCTGTATTATTGTCCAATTTTTATTCATTTATTTATTTTGCCATTTCATTGTTCAAGTAAGAAAGAAAGGAAGTTGAAATGCAAATTAGCCCATTAAGTTAACTGTGGTAAAGATTTGGTGGGAGAAGAGGCCAAAGATGAGATTCTAGAATGATGTGTGGATTTTAAATGTCTAAGCTACCCATACCTCCAGAGACTAAAGATAATCAAGATTTGGCTGTACTTTCAAAATATGGCTAAATCATAACCTAATCACTTATCAAGAATATAGGCTATATCAAAATATTTGAGGATCATCTTTGTAGCTTTTTAGTTAGAAATTTTATTAATATCATTACATGATGTTTTAAAATCAGGTTTAACAATACTTATGTTAGTATTTTAAAATTTCAGCAAGACCATTTATTTTAGCAATGATGATAACGATTTTAGAATTACAATATATCCCTCTTTAAATTTTATGGCATCTACTTCTTAAATCTGACAGTTTTCTAACCCAAATCAACATAGATTCTGCAGCTTTTTTTTTTAAACAACATGATTAATTTTATAAAACCCTTTGAGAAAATTAGGAAGAATTTAGGAGTTAAAAAACTCCTAAATTTAGGAGTTAATAATTGCTTGCTATATGCCATGCTTTGTTCTAAATGTTTTACATATATGAACTCTAATCCTCACAATAACCCTAGGTGTGAAGCACATATTATTATCATTCCCATTGCAGAGATGGAAAAACTAAGGCTTGATAGATAAGCCATTTGCACAGTCAGAAACTGACAGGGCTGGGATTCAAATTAAGGCTTTCTGGACTTGTATCATTGAATTTACCTTTTAAAGTTCATAGTTGATAATTGTTCACAAAATATATCTAGCTCATTTTATTTTCTCTCTCATGCTCTTATTTCTCTTGCTAAGGTTAGAATTAGGGAGTAAATCAGAAGAGTTTACCTACTTATAAGAGTTTGTAGAACATCTCTAAGAGGCACTTTTTAAAAAGGGGGGGGTTGGGTTGGGAAGGAAGCCAAATTCTTTCCAGAATTAAGCAAAGATGTATAAACCTATACATTTCCATTTTCACTTACTGTAGAATGAACTGTTCTCCCCTATGTGTCTTCTCTCTGACTCTTGATAAGAGTAGTTGAAACAGAGTTAAATTTGTTTTCGTTATTCCAGTGTAATAGATAGTTGAGTACTATTAGATACCAAGCACTGTAGTAGGCATCTAAGAATGAGTACACCTGACACTAATGTAATATTGAATGTCAACTGTAATTGAAAAATTAAAAATAAAAATAAAAGAGTAAAATCTTTAAAAAAAATTAAAATGAGTTTCTATAATATGTACCCCCCTAAAGCTCATTGTCTAGCCAGTGAGGCATTATTAAAAATAAATATCTCTAATACAGCAAGGTATGTATTGTAACAAAGTAAAGTGTAATGTTCTGTGATGACCTAGAAGAGAGAACGATTAAGTCTGCCTGAATTGGAGCTTAGAGTGGTTTGGAGAAAGCTCTCCAGGGAAACAGGCAGGGGAGTGATATTCCAGGAACAGTATAAGCAAAAGTGTGAAGGCATCAGAAAGAGCCTGTGCAGAGGTGTTCAGAGTAATATGTACAGAAAGTCAGGTAAGCAGGAGTTCCAGGAAATGACGTTGGGAAGGCATGCTCTAGCATATTGAGAAGCATATGCCATTTTATGAACTTGAGTCTTTATTCAGTAGGCCTGTTGAGACGGTCAGAGATCTTTAAGAATGGCAGTGACCTGAATTCAAACTATAGAGCAGATTCAGGCTTTGTTAGGCACCTAGATATAATTGTATACAAGATCCCTGCCCTCAAAAAAACTCACGGTATGGTTAATGAGAGGGAGAAAAGGCAATTAGAGTATAGAAAGAAAATGGCTATATTAAATGAGTGGAGTGTGTTCTTAGAGCAAATCAGAAAGCCACCAAACTCAGTCTTGAGAGGGGCATTTCAGGGAAATATTGTCTCAAAATAGTAAATGAAATACCAATTGGCATCTAAAGATGAGTTAGGCAAAGGAGGCAGGGGCAGAGGGAAAGAATATTCCAGGAAGAGGGGGAAGTAGAGAGACCAAATATAAAACTGTGGCGTTTAATTAGCTAAAGGGACAATAGCTGACGATGAGGCTCCAGAGGAACCTGGAGTAGCCTTGTAGGTTAAGAGTTTGAACTTGATCTTAAGGGCAGTAAGAAGCTATTGAAGGATTTTAAGCAGGAGAGAGGCATGTTCATATTCGCATGTTTAGAAAAACCACTCCAGTTACAGTGTGTAGCCAGGATTGCAGAAAGACAAGACTCAAGGTAGGGAGACAATGATATTTAAAAGGCTGTTACAGAAATCCAGGGGAGATTGGATGATGGCCTGAACTAAGATAGTGGCAGTGGGCACAGAGAGAGATGAACAGATTTAAGAGACAAATAAATGTGGGGGTATGAGTAAAGAATTCAACAGTACTATCCCGGTTTCTGGCTCTCACCTGGGCAGGTGGAGGTTTCATTTTCTGAGATAGGGACCTCAAATAAGGAGTAGGTTTGAGGTGGGACAAATTAGGTTCCCTGTGGGACCTCCAATTAGAGATAGCTCTTCGGTCAGTGAAGCCTAAATTAGTGGTCTAGTCTAGAAATAAAAATTGCAGGCTCATCATGTGAAGAGCACTGAATCCACATGGGTAGGTTCATTGTCCGGGGGAAAGTACAGAATGAGAGAGGAAGAGTGTATACAACAAAATTCCAAAAACACCGACACTTAAAAGATGAACACAGGAAACAGAACCCATTAAAGAGACTGGATGCGTGGGTACTGGTTGGCTATCCTAGTAACCCAAGCAAGAGACTCTGTGGACATAGTCAAGAGCAGTGGCAGTAGGATTGGAAAGCAAGAAGCAATTCCTAGTTATGCTTGATAAGCGTTAGTTGATTAATCAAATGAGGGGTAGAAGAGAAAGAGTTGGAGGAATCAAGAATGAATCTGAGGTTCCTACTTTGGACCTCTGGAGAAATTTAATGTCTTTATCTGACGTAGGAAAGACAGGAGGTAGAAAAAGTTTTAGGTATGTTTGAGCTTGATATACATCATTTCTCTTTATCCAGGAGACCATTCTGGCTCATCCCAGGTACGCTTTTCCCCTATTCAGCAGGCTCTGAAATATGCCCAGTCTCCCCTGAAAACTTTTTTAGAGGAAATAGGATGTTATTATCTTTTGGTACATATGGGATCAGACTTCTCAAGTATTTCCTAAATATTAGCATTGGTTTCCTATGGTGATTGTGCTATACGACCGCATGATTCTGGCCATAATGACAGTTGTTAATGAGTGCCTTCAATGAGTAGAAATAGCAACAGACAATCATAAACCAAATCCTAACACCAATTTCTAATCCAGTTCCAAAGAGATATTAACCTCCAAGAATTAGCTAGAGCATGAGAATAGTTTTGAATTCCCACTCTTAGTGAGGAATTGCAAAGCTTATTTGGGGAGAGCTGGAATGGAAGTATTCCAGGAAAGGACTTAGCCTGTTAGAATTTAATGAATAAATGAAAGTAAAGGAAGAAGAATTGGAGATTAGAAATGGTGTAGGTAGTTCTGAGCTCTACTCACTATGTAAGCATACTGTACATTAAAATGATTCTCCTAAACAGATGAACATACTCCTTTTATTCCTGTTTACTTTGTAGAGCAAGCCCCCTCTTTTCATCATAAGTATAGACTTAAATCCATTACCAAATGGAATTATCACAAACTAAGTTTGTGAATTCATAGCAACTACATTTGAATACTAGCAGTTAACGTAAATTCTAAAATAAATAATTATGATTAATTCCTCATACATTTAACAAGTCCATCCTAGAAGGCAGTTTTTAGATTATTGATTTTCTATTTGTGACAGATGTTAACATTGTTCACACACTTTGACATTTTTATTGAAATGGGAAAGCTTCTGTTTAGACCAATTAAATAAAATCCATGGGAATAATTGGACATGGAAAAGGAGGTATCAATTTAGTAAAATAAAGCATTTGAAGTAAGCTATATCAATTTAGTAAAATAAAGCATTTAAAGTAAGCTACATATATTTATTTACTTGGAGTCTTTCATCAAAGGGTAATTTGTATATGAAACCCTATACGTTCTCAAAGTGACTGACCATGGAACTGGTGAATGACTTTGGAGCAGCTTTCTTACACTGGGAGGCCTTGCTACGAGGGTCAGAGGGAAGAAGACTTTTCTAAATTGGGAGGTCTTGCTACTGTGGATAGTTTGAAGTACTGCTACTAGGCTTCAAACCTGTGTGTTGACTGGCCTGTATTTTCTTTGGCAGTTGTAGGGGAAGCAAGTAAGTACTGTGGTGTGGCGTGAATAGTTAGTAGACTCGGAACTAAGTCTGTACTCTGACTCTCGTGTCCGTGTGCCAGAGTCTTATTCAAAAGTTCCATTGAATGCTAAGAAATTAGAATTATATATTAAAAGCATCAATCTGCTATTTATTCATTCTCATGGCATTCTTACTAAACTACAGGCAAAGTTTGATTCCTGTAATTTTATTGAATAGGCTGCAGTGTTCCTTGAACCAATTAGATTTTCTTCTTACTTATGTATAATAATCAAAATAGTTTAGTAAAATGCATAAAATAAACCAACGTTCTCATTCTTTTGTGTTTTTAAAAAATTAAGACTATTAACTCTCTTACCTTATGAAGTTCTATAATTTTATAGATTTGAGTAACAAGAAAGCTTCTCTCTCATGTGGATTATACCACATTAAAGAAATGGACATTTTTTATTTCAACCAAAAAAAAAAAATGGGGAA